GTAAGACGAGTAGTTACGAGGATATGTCAAGAGAAAAACAATCTTAGATGGCACGACACAACGATTTAACCTCGAATGATGTGCGTGCGTGCTCGAAGGGCATTTTTGTAAAATCCTTTATTAAAAACTTTAAAAAATCTTAAAAATTTAGGGACGCGGCTGTCACACCGGGTCTGTATTGGTATCGGGGATTCAAATAATATTGCTATCAATAAAACACATACTCTAAAAGAGAAATAATAATACTTATGCAACTAAAGAAATTTGCAAATTGCAAACATATGAAATAATTTATACCTGCTGCATGCAAATCGTGGTATAATGTTTTATACCATCGTTCTTCAATTATCTTTATGACCCACCTTGCACCATTGTTTTCTTTCCAATTCATCCTTCACTACCAACTCACTCTTATCTGCCCCCATAGTAGGATACACTTCTGTGTCAACGATCCGTAAAACTTTTGTAAAGAGGTTCAAACACTTTGGCACACATGTTCTGATTGAGTCCAAAAGCATGATCAAGCACAATACTTTCCCACCATACGACCTGTATTTTGAGCGGCTCAAATTTTGGTTGGCCCAATCGTCACTACTAGTGAATAGTTTCAACCCTGCTTCTTCTTGAGTAAGCTGTCTAATGCAATATAGTTGGTGGCGAATCGAGTGGTAGCGTGGAAGAATAATAATTTCTCCTTTCAAATTCACGCATCTTGCCTTTGCAACAAACCAACCGTGATTGTAAATATAATTTGTTGATCGTTCTAGCTCTTTTGACCACACCAGTAGTAGCAACATTCTCTCTCTTCCCCATTGCCTCAACATGAGATCAATACAATGTGCTGCACATGATGTCCAAAACACATTATCATGCTTCATTAACTTTTTCCAGCTTTGACAAATGCAGAAACCGTTGTCGGTCACGACTTGGACAACATTATGCTCTCCCACCTCCATGATTACATCCCTCAATAATTTGTAAATATACTTGTAGTTCTTATATTGGTCTGAAGCATCAACAGACTTCAAAAAAAATTGTCTTTCCCTTGGAGTATACCATGAAGTTTATTATGATAGACAAAACTGGTGGGGGCGGTCGGGTCCATCCGTCACACATGATTGTGCAACCATTAGTTTCCCACTTTGACCTCAACTTTTAACACATACTCGCCAATGTCTTTATACTCCATATCCAAATATTTGTTTCTTATCTCATAGGGAGTGGGAGGTTGTTACTCCAACACCGGCCTGTTGACATCCATCCCACTACTATATTTTTGAAATGATGTGATGATGATGCCCTTCGCAACAGGGACATTTTCATAGATAAAGAACTTGCTAATTAGACGCCCACATTCCCTCCTTCACATTACCTCCAGTGAAATAACTTCAAACACTCTTTTGACGTGCTTTGGATGACTTATAATAAACTTGGGGCGCTATTGGTGGTATTGATTGTGATTCTCTAAGACTGCCTCCCCGTCTCATTTATGCACCACCACTTGTCCCGAAAACCTTGTGCTCTATTAGGAATTTTGAAGATGTTCCTCTTTTCCCATGCTGACTGTTTGGAGGCACGTATGCTTGTTTCAAACTGCGTCGTTCTCAGGTCCCATGTCATCATCACATTCGTCCTCATCGTCATCATCATCATCACTGTCATTCGCTTGGCCAAGGACTTCTCCCGTAGCCCAACTCGAATATTTTCCATTCCCTGTGTTATCTTTTCCTTCTGCTGTTTTTTATTTTTTTAATAATGTGCTGATGAATGCCTTCACTTCTGGGGGACATTATCGCATCGCATTGCGTGGAATTTTTTGCTGGATGGATCTAATCCACTAAGATGGTACTTAAGTCGCGTGTCGCTCCGCCACTCTTTCATTACCCGACCACAATATTTGCGCAAATTGTGCCATGTTTGTTTCCGTCTATTAGGTATCCATGTTCCAAGCTGGATCACGTTTAGTAGCTCCACTGGACATCGTAACGTACGCTACATTATTTTTCATGAAAAATTAGACAAATATTTTTTGGCCAAAAATATAGTAGTGATGACGGTTATATATAAGAGATTAAATAATAAAGTTATTCTACAGAAGAAATAGAATACGAAGTAAAGAAATGATTTTAGTAAAAATTAAGTAATTAAAATAATATGGAATAATAAAACCTAATAAATTATAAAATAATAATTTTATTAAAAAATAATCCAATATAAAACCAGTGATGAATAATAATTCATAATTTTGATAATATCAGAATATTTATAATAATCCAATAATAAATAATCCAATTTAATGAATAAAATAATAATTAAAAAACTAATATTAATGAACATAATCCTATTGATAAAAAATAATCTAATAATAAGAATAATAATCCAATTTGATAATAAATCCAATTTAATAATTCAAATCCCATTTAATAATAATCCAATTTGAATAAATAAACCATAATAATTAATAATATTATGAATAATAAAATCCAAATTTGATAAAAAAAAATAATCCTAATATAAAACATAGTGATGAATAATAATCCAATTTGATAATAATCCAATTTAATAATAATCCAATTTTAAATAATCCAATTTTTGATAATAAGCCAATTTAATGAATAATCCAATTTAATGAATAATAATCCAATTTGATAATAATCTAATTTAATGAATAATAATCCAATTTGATAATAAAAAAACCTAATATTAATGAATAATAATCCAATTTGATAATAAAACCTAATATTAATAAAATAATAAATAACATTAAACATATTAAAATTATCCTAGGGAATAATAATATATAGAACATTACTTAATTACTTAAAAAAATTAACATGTAATTGTTAACATTACTTAATTACTTACAAAAATTAACATGCAAGTATTAATTACTTAAAAAAAATTAACATACGAGTCCACACAAATTTCTTTGTTGTTGTATAAATTACAATAATATAAATATAAGTTTGTAAACTTACCTTAAATATGGAACCGTTTGTGTTCAAGCTTTGGAATGGATCTGGAATGGCTTTGAAAATGGTAAGGGAAATAAAAATAATAAATAACATTAAACATATTAAAATTATCCTAGGGAATAATTATACAACATTACTTAATTACTTAAAAAAATTAACATGTAATTGTTAACATTACTTAATTACTTACAAAAAACTAACATGCAAGTATTAATTTACTTAAAAAAATTAACATGTAATTGTTAACATTACTTAATTACTTACAAAAACTAACGTGCAAGTATTAATTACTTAAAAAAATTAACATACGAGTCCACACAAATTTTTTTGTTGTTGTATAAATTACAATAATATAAATATAAGTTTGTAAACTTACTTTAAATATGGAACCCTTTGTGTTCAAGCTTTGGAATGGATCTGGAATGACTTTGAAAGGGGTAAGGGAAGAAGAAGAAACGAAAATGCTGAATGGCTCTGATACTCTACCTCTTGAAAGAATATCACAATGGCAGCTTTGAAAAGGGTAAGGGAAGAAGAAGAAACGAAAATGCTCTGAATGGCTCTGATACTCCACCTTTTGAAAGAATATCGGCACACGGTTTTGAATGAAACCTCCATCCATGGTCTGAAAAGAATACAAGTTATAATTGTAAAAGTGGTCTGAAATTGTCTAAATAATTGTAAAAGTTGTCGGGAATCCTGAGTGAGTCATGTGTCCTCCTGACAGGAGGAACCCACACACACACACAACGCACGCAACCACACACGCACACAACGCACGCACACAAACATCACACACGCAGACACGACCTCTGTCTCTCTCTCTCTTGATCATTCTCGATCTCTCTTCTCCCTTCTCCCCCCCCCACACACACACAGAGATCTCTCGATCTCTCTTCTCCCTTCTCCCACACACACACACACACACAAAGATTTCTCGATCTCTCTTCTCCCTTCTCCTACACACATACCACGGCCTTTTGCTCCTCCCTCTCCTTTCTCTCTGCACCGAGACCCACATACACCTCTCCTTTCTCTCTGCACCGAGACCCACACACACACCACGACCTTCTGCTCCTCCCTCTCCTTTCTCTCTGCACCGATACCCACATACACCTCTCCTTTCTCTCTGCACCGAGACCCACACGCCCACCATCGCACCTGCTCCGGCGAGTTCCTTCAATTTCTCCGGTTAGGTAAGCTTCGGGTTTTTCTTTTTATGTTCTAGATCGAAGCTTAGATGTGAAATTGAAGTTCTATCTCGTCTTTTTGCAAGGTTTTTGGGATGAAATCGACTCGGGAATAGGCACACCCATCTCCGGCGAAGCCGTGGGTGTCGAAGAACTTTCCGAACACCTCCGGCTGTTTCACGGCAAACAGACGTTATAAAAACGTTCCTTCTATTTCATGTTCATATAGATCGGATCGGGGAGTCTAGGGGGTTGTTTTACAGTCGGCCGGAGCTGTAGAAGCTCTGGCGTTCGTCTTCGACTTGCACAGTTCCGAAATTTCACGATAATATCGATAATATCGCGATATTATCAATATTATCGATATTATCGCGAAATTTGGACGAAAACCCCTTGGATATCACTTAAAATATCGGATTGGGGAAAAACCGATAATATCAAGAAAAATAATGGTCACATTTTCGTACCTTTTCAAGATTTTCACAGCATATGTTGACTGAATATTTAAGAACAAGTCAAGAAATTGTTTGTCATGTAATGATGACGTAATCACATGCGTAACTTCTTCATACATCTTCTGTTGGTTGTTATCGTTAACCAAAAGCAAACTTTCACAAACTCGTGGGCCCCAGTGAAAAGTTCCAATCTTCCATTTTTAGATAGCGTCACCTTCCGCAGTCAAAACGGCGCGTGTGTCTTTCGAATCCCAAACGACAGTCCACTGCTACGCGCCATAACATCACAAAAATTCCCACGTGCGCGACCAATCCGTGTGTGAACGGTGTTAGACAACTGTCGTCCACGTCATCCTCCCAAGCATGTATAACCCCCCCCCCCTCTCCCCACCCCCACCACACCACTCTCTCCCCAACTCAAAAATTCAAAGCTTTTCCCACTACCAACATTCTCAACTTTCTCTCTCTAGAAAACACCATGCAACCTTCATACAAGCGATTCAAGCCCTCCGACTCCCAGCCAGCCCACTCGGCCCCTCCTCCGTTTCAGCCTTTGCCGCCGCTTCCCCGCCTCACCCAAGATCAAGAATACACGGTAATCGTCTCTGCGCTTCAAAACGTCGTCGCTGGAACCGCCACAGCCGCCTCCGTGGACTTGAATTCGCTCCTCCCCCCACTACAACGCGCTTCCACTTTCTCTCCCCGCTATACTACAAGTACTAGCTGCTCCAGCAACACTCTCTTGGTGCCGTCCGATTTGGACACCTGCCACGAGTGCAAAATCAAGGGGTGTCTCGGGTGTACTTTGTTCCCGCCAGCAGCCCAGGAGGAAAAGGGAAGTAGTAATAACAAAAAAGGGCCGAAGAAGAGGGTGAAGAAGAACTACAGGGGAGTGAGGCAGCGGCCTTGGGGTAAATGGGCTGCCGAGATTCGAGACCCGAGACGGGCGACTAGGGTCTGGCTAGGCACTTTCACTTCGGCTGAGGAGGCGGCCCGGGCTTACGATAAAGCTGCAATCGAGTTTCGGGGGCCAAGAGCGAAGCTCAATTTTCCGTTTCCGGACACAACATTGGTGACCCAAGAAAGTAATTCATCACAACCACAACAGCAACAAGTAGTTACAGAGCAAAGGAATAAAAATGTCGAATTTCCAGGGGAAGTTGAAACGACGGGGATTATGAAGGAAAATGAGTTACTGGAAGAGGACTTCCAACAGTGGATGATGATGCTGGATGCTACTGATAATTCTTCGGATTCAGGAAATGTTCATATATAGCATTTGAGTATAATAATAAAAATTGTTTCTTTGATTGTTTTATTAGAAACAATTGTAGCTTGTATGTGACTAAAACAAGTTCATTTGTTCTTTTAATTACCAATGATGTGATCAATTTTAATGGAAAAATCACATTTTATCTACAAATAATTTTGTGTATCGAAAGTTCTATTAACACTACTACGAAACCATTTATTAGTGTCGTTATGATAACCGACAAGAAACGTATATTACTGTCAGATTTTAAGCAAAATCCGACAGAAAATGAATGCATTGGCGGATATAATAAGCAACAGAATTGCTAGCCTCAGGAAATGAATTTTCCGACAGAAAATACTCTAAAACCGACAAAAATTGTGTCAGATATAACCGACAGAGAATAGATTAATAATTAATAAATAAGAGCATTCTCTATCGGCTAAAACCGACAGAAAATACTAAAACCGACAGAACTTGTGTCGGATATAACTGATAGAAAATTTATTAATAATGAATAAATAAAATCATTCTTGTCGGATAAAATCGACAGAAAATATATTAATAATAAAAAAAATATAAACCACTTTCTGAATCATTTCTTTCCCTTTCAAGTTGAGCCAGAGAGCGAGATGAGAGAGACAGTTGCTTCCTTCCTTCCCGCACAACGCGGTTATCAATTTACTATCTTCCTCTTGTTCCTTTTTCTCCAACGACATTTTCCTTCCTCTTCCGTATTCTCACCCACCCTTCCCCTTCCAATTCATTCTTCCACATTCTGTAAATATCCACCCATGCACACACAGAAAGAAGAGAAAGAAGAGAGAAAACAGAGAAGCAGTGGTCACCAACATAGCCTCTCACTTTTCTTCACTCTCTTTTGCATTGTGAGTTCACTCACATCTCCTTCATTTGTTCAGAGCTCATATCTCCATCAAACTCTCTGCAATTCCCAATTTTACCTTCTATTGCCTTCAATTTTACTGTTCTTCTGATCTAGTAGTATGAAGTAGCATTTTTCTACGCATCAATGCTCAGATTAAAAGTCAATATTTTTGTTTTATATAATCAAATCAAACACCGAAATAATAACCGAGATTAAGGAAACAAACTTACAATTGATTTTTTTTTTTTTTGTATAATCTAATACTGAATCTACAATCTCCTTCAAAATTCCCCCTTTAAATCTCTATATCAACACCTGAAAATGCCAACAGAAACCACAAAAAGATCAAAATTAAACAAAAACAAAAAATTGAATTAAAATTCCATAGAATTGAGAACCGAAGGCGAACAACAGAACCCTAATCGTACCTGAAAATTCGAAAATTGAGATGAAATTGGTAAGGAGGAGGCGAGGATTTGAAGGATTTGGCGAAATGGAAACCTTAAAAATAATTGAGGCTCACGAGAATTTGTTAGCATAAAAAACAGTGCAAGGAAGAGATGGAAGGGAGGAGAAAAGGAGAAGGAAATGAGGAGAGAAGATAAGGAGAAGAAAATGAAGAGAGGAGAAAAGGGGGAAGGAAGGGGGAAGGGAGAAGGCACCGACGCAAGGAAGAGATAAAGGGGTTTTATTTTGGAAAATTTTCATTATTGTCTGTTAAAACCGACAACAGCATTTTTTAAAATATAAACCGACATAAAATTTTCATTACTGTCGGTTATAACCGATAGAAACAAAATGGCGGCAAAAATCCTCCCAAAATTTTAAATTCCCTCCAAAAATTTTAAATTCCCCCCAAAATTTTGTTACAATTTTAAAAAATAAAATAATAATTGTTTGGTTTAATAAATAAAATGTATTTAAATAGAATACATTTTTAAAAATTAAATAAATAATTGTTTGGTTTAATAGATACCCATGTAAAATATGCAATAAAGAAACAAAAAGATAATTGTACAATGAAAAAGTAATCACACGAACTAAATATTGTCTAATCAATACCTGAAAAACATAAATAAAAATTTAGCACAAATTACTTTTCCCACTTCAAAATTTAGGCAAATTTAACAGAGATATGCATTCTACGAAACTAGTTTCAATGATCTAACTGTCAAACTTGTTTCTAGATACTACAAGATCGCATATGTAAAAAATTGCAAAAAAAAAAAAAAAATTCAAAGATTAGGTAACGGAACAAAAGTTTTCGACGGTTATAAACGAAAAATCACAATTTTACGGTTATTTTAGCTCTGGTTTTGATGATTTTTTTTACAGCTACACTCCTCGACCCTATAAGATGCAATGAATGAATTTGATCTTCAATTTAAAATATTTACACTAGTGGATACCACAAAATTTTATTTTATACTTAATGGAAGTATAATATTAACTCTAAGTGTTTTGTTTAATCTACCGTTTTGACGCGATATGCATTCTACAAAACTTTTTTCAACGATCCAACCATCAAACTTGTTTGTACACACTCTGAGATTGCATATGTAAAAAATTGCAAAAAAAAAAAATTCAAAGATTAGGTAACAGAACAAAAATTTTCGACGGTTATAAACGAAAAATCACAATTTAACGGTTATTTTAGCTCCGATTTTAATGATTTTTTTACAGCTACACTCCTCGACCCTATAAGAATGCAATGAATAAATTTGATCTTCAATTTAAAATATTTACACTAGTGGATACCACAAACTCTTATTTTATTCTTAATGGAAGTATAACATTAACTCTTTAAGTGTTTGTTAAATCTATCAATTTGATAGGATATGCATTATATGAAACTTTTTTCAATGATCTAACTGTCAAACTTGTTTGTACACACTCTGAGATCGCTGTAAAAAAATCACAAAAAACAAACATTCAGAGATTAGGTAACAGAACAAAAGTTTTCGACGGTTATAAACGAAAAATCACAATTTAACGGTTATTTTAGCTTCGATTTTGATGATTTTTTACAGCTACACTCCTCAACCCTATAAGAATTCTTTGAACGAATTTGATCTTCAATTTAAAATATTTACACTAGTGGATACCACAAAATATTATTTTATACTTAATGAAAGTATAACATTAACTCTGAGTGTTTGTTTAATCTACCATTTGATGTGATATGCATTCTACGAAACGTTTTTTCAATGATCTAACCATCAAACTTGTTTGTACACACTCCGAGATCACATACGTAAAAAATCACAAAAAAAAAAACATTCAGAGATTAGGTAACGGAACAAAAGTTTTCGATGGTTATAAACGAAAAATCACAATTTAACGGTTATTTTAGCTCTGATTTTGATGATTTTTTACAAGTACACTCCTCGACCCTATAAGAAAGCAATGAATGAATTCGATCTTCAATTTAAAATATTTACACTAGTGGATAAATCTCATTTTATGCTTAATGGAAGTATAACATTAACTCTTAAGTGTTTGTTAAATCTATAAATTTTATAGGATATACATTATATGAAACTAGTTTCAACGATCCAACCGTCAAATATGTTTGTATATACTCCGAGATAGCATGTGTTAAAAATCGCAAAAAAAAAAAAAAAAAAAATTCAAAGATTAGGTAACGGGACCATGAGTGAAAAAAAAACATTCAGAGATTATTCTGGTGACCGCCCAAAATTTTTCTTTGTTCTTGTCGGTTATATTCGACAGGGCCATGAGTGAAAGAAAAACATATTTAAACCATGTGTTTATTTATTTATTTTTAATCAATATAACATTTTAAAATAATAAAATAGTTAATTTATGTCGGTTATAACCGACACCATTAACTTAAAAACTGCCGGAATATATCAAAAATATTTTAAAAAAAAATAATTCAAAAATACTGGAGGTTATAACCGACAGGATTGCATTGTTATCCGACACTAAATATCTGCCATGAATTTATGTCGAATATAACCAATAGGATTTCATTGTTATCCGACACTAACTGAATGATGTGTCGGACATTTTTTATCCGACATAATGGCTTATTAAACCGTCACCATCATTCGACACCTAAAGCTAATATTGTAGTAGTGTAAACTTTTATCGGTTGGACTTTCTCGCTGTACTTTCTTCGCTCTTTTTCCCGATTATAGAAATTGTCTAGTTGCTAACCCTCTCATACTTTCAAATAGGACTTTTTGGATATTTACTAAGATAAATAAGCGTGACCCACACGTAGCAATCCAACTCTTCGTCGTTGCGATAAGAAGTAAAAGAAAGAACAAAAAATGACAATAAAATACAAGAAATTTTGTGTGTGTCGAGAACTTGAACCAATACACCAAATATTATAATACAAGTAGTTGAAATTTTTTTTTTAAGTATCCAATCACTTATATTATGACACACGTGTACTTAAAGCAGCTAGGCCCTACCGAAGACGCCCACGTGTACTTAAAGCAGTAAACAATTTGTCACCTGTGAGTTATAAAACACGTGCGCTTTTATTTACCTGATTAAATTAATAGGGATGGAGTCTTACACGTTTTTAATTAGCTACTGTGAGCTGGAACATCACTAAATTAGTGGATTATCCAAAGGAGCTTTTTTCACAGATTTGATTTAAAACATTAAATATTGTCTAATTGGTCCGCTAAAACGAGTAGGGTCATCTAATTTGACACTTTTTTATTTATTTTTTAATAAGGACGCATGATTAACACCTGAACCTCCAAACGACGGTTGAAAATTTACTTAATTATGCTTGCCGACTTTGTTTTGTTTCTATTTGACATATTCGTGGAAATCCACTTATATTATAAGCTACTAGCCTTTTTGCATGCGCTTTTGCGTATGTGAAAAGTTTTTTCCTAGTCACCACTAGGGGAGGGCATAAAAACTATGAAACCGATTCAAACAGCGATAAAATAAACTGTTAAAAACCATTTTGACAAAAAAAGTCAACGTAAGTTTAAGAATCGGATCAAACTGTTCATACCGGTTTCGGTTCCGGTTCTTATGTCGGTAGAACTGCTTAAAACCGAATGGAACTGTAAATATAAATAATTAACTAAATTTAATAGTTGTATACATGTGCCACTAAATGAGTGGTGAAAATCAAATTGGTTTCGCCTAGTACGACTGCGTGGGAACTTTTCTCAATTAGGTCTTTCACTTGCATGGTTCTCCTATTGAGATAAGCAGAGCCGGCGTTGGGGGAGTGCGA